AGCTTTGGTAATAGGAAGGGGGTAGACTGTACTGTGTCTGAGGAGCCCCTAGACAGAGAAAATGCAAATTCTTGACTATTTTGATGCTTGTCTCCATCATTACAAACCTTGGGGTGGGTTCTTCAGGTGATTAGTAATGCAATTACTATTGAGTGAGTGATACTTGGGTAAAGGCAGTCCTGCACTACAGAGTTACTCACCTCTAGTGAAATACTGCTCCTCAGAGTGATAACTCAGTGCCAGTGTGCCTGTCTGTAACAGTGTCAGGACACTTGATATCTGGTTTGAGACATGAATTGGTGTTGGGGGTGTGTGTGTTCTCTCCCTGCCTATTTTATTACTGCCAGCTGGTTTATAACTAACAGTGAATGCTGCTGTTCCTTAAAACTCTTTCTTATTCTCTTAAGAAAAAAGAATTAAAAACTGTAAAAAGAATTGCTTTGAAATGGAATATATATATATATACATACATTCTATTCTGCTTGAATTTTGGTCAAGCAGTGCTTTTATATAACCTGAGTTAGCTTTTGAATGCTTCTGATTTTCTGACATTTAGAAATAAGAAATAATGGAAGAGTTATCCTCTGCCTAGGATTTAAGAAAACCTGGAAATGCACTACTGTGTGCATAATTGCATGATAAAGCAGCTGTCATAAATAACTTGAGGCAGAATGGGTGGCTGTTTGAAGGCCACTGAGGCCCAGCAGTGGAAACAGATAGAAACTGGCTTTGGTTTGATCTTTCATACCTGTTTGATGGATTTTGGCTCTTTAAGAGGGAGTAAAGATCATCAATCCATGTTTGAAATTGTATTTTTTAACTTCTATTTAAACATCTAGTACTCCAGGCAACTAAAAGTATCTGTAGGAGGTATTTATTTTGAGAATAGTGAGATGTTGGCAATCAGTGTAGAACAGCAAGTGTTGACAGACTTTATTTATGGGTGCATTTCACAGAAATTTGGTAGAAATTTCAGTGAACTTGTCAGTTCAGCATCTGTTTTGTGCAGCTCAGAGTGGCACTCAGGTCTCAGAACTTGCAGTGGAAACATTTATGTCCTCTGACAGGGAGAAAAGGGAGATTAAAACCACTTGGGCTTGTTGGCAAAAGGAGTGATAAGCAGAAAATCCTGCAGAAAATCTCTTGATGCAGAGATTACTTCAGTAGTCTACTTTCTTTGGGGACATTTTATAAAGAAACATTTATTTTGAGGCCTTATGCACACAATGATTTACAGCCACTGGGGTTTGCTGTGCAGACTTTGGTGTGTACCAGAAATCTTTATATTGAAATGGCTTTCTAGAGAGAGGTTGCAATTTCTGGGTTTTTTTTTCCTTTTTTCCTCTTGTCCTATTTTCCCTCTTTTCTGGGACTTCTTGAAGACTAAAAAGGAAGATGAAGGTTATTGAAACAACATGCATTGTTTAGAATTTCTGATCAACTGAAAAAGCAGGAAAAGCTCTCAAATGAAGCCATTTTTGGTGCTCAGCCCAGAGCAGTGAGTGTCCTGGGGAAACAGTTTTACCAGCCTGCCCATAGCATCTGACAAAACCAAGGAAGTGACTTGTTGTGTAAAAGCTCTGAAGAATGGGGTCTTCCAACTGCTCTGTCATTGTGGCAGCAGTTTAATGTGTCCTGCACTCACCAGGAGGGAGCTGAGGGTGTATAATGCTAATGACATGGCTAGATATAAATGTCTGAAAATAGAACTTGCTGACCAGCATTTTTTAATAAAGAAACACCCAACAGGTGATTTCAGTGATCCACAGCATTAAAGTAGCTATATCATGATAAAGTTCAAGACCAGGAAACAGTTCTGTACTTAAGAGCAGCAGGAGACTCCTTCCAGTAATGAAAAGTGACTAAGTGACATCTGAGGGAGCTGTTACACTACTTAATTTTACACATCTGTGTCACAGTTTTGCCTGTATCCTGAAGACAGCTATGGCCATTGTAGCCCTGCTACTTCAGACCACTTCCCTCTGAAGTCAAGGGGGCTGCTCACAGGCTTTGGCTTCTGCTCATGCTGAAGTGTCTGCTGCCCTGGCATGTTTATAGGTGCTCCTGTAGCTGGTACTGTGGTGCTGAGATTAGACCTGGGCATCAGCGTGAATCAGTCTGTGCCCCAGAACCTGAAACAGTTAGAAAGGGAGTGGAAAAATGTTGTGATGGCTCAGTTTCCCAAGAGGCATAGGGAATGGGAGGCATAGAGCAGCCCTTTTTGATTGTCCTTCCCCTGTTTTAATTTCACCAACTAAAAATGCATCCGAAGTGTCAGTCTTTATTGAGCATTCCCAACAGCACATTCTTGGGACTGATGTTCATATTACTTTATGAATAGTGACATGAGCTTGACTAGCTTTTGAATATAAAGCTGCAATCTGTTTTCTAGTTTTGCCATCTAGGGTAAACTAAAAACATTTATTGTGAATAATGGCAGGCACAGAGGAAGGTCTTTACCAAGTATCTCTGTTTTTCAGTTTGGATTGTATGTAAAAGATGTTGTCTTACTTGCAGCTTTTAAAGGAAATTTTTTGGTGGAAACCTTAGCTATACTTGTAAGCAGATGAGAATAACACAAAACATGGTCATCATCTCAGCATAGATAATCATTGCAAAGAACAAATCCATGGTTTTAAAATTGGCACAAATATGAAAACATTTGGCCAAATGTAAACAATCCCCTCTCACAGGACTTACTGAATTCAAGATAAAAGCATAAAAGAATTTTCTTCCCATCACAGGAGAGCAGTTACACAAAAAAGATGGCTTTGAATTTCTTGTTCATAACAAGTGAGTAGAAAATCTTTGTTTGCCCAGTGTGGCTGGGTACAGTTATGGATTTGTGCATTTGAGGGGAAAATGGATGATAACCCCCATATTAGTATTTATTCATTCTTCACATCTGTTCTCAGTCAATTGAGTGATATTTATTAAAAAAAATATTTTCAAGGCATGCCTAACTCAAATCTTCTGACATCTTGCATACATATTAGTTGAGATAATGCGCTTGCTTAATGCTTAAGTAGTTTAAATAGTTTGCTGAATCGGGGCTTCACTGTCTTTACAAAGGGAGCTGGAAATGGAGAATTCAGTTTCTCCACTTACACTACTAAGGAGCTGTGAAATGTTTTGGTGCTGCTATAAAATTTGACTTTACAAGTCAATAGCCTACTTAGAGGTTTGCAGTACTCATTTGCCTTTCCCTTAATGATGTGCAAAACTAAGTAAATGTAAAATTTTGTAAGATGTACACTAAAAATATTGTCTTCCTGTGTTTTTCTCCTCCTTTGCCTCCCGTCTCCCTCACAGTCTCCGTAATATTCTGTTATCTCTGAAGGAAATGATAAATGCTTGGCTTGCATGCTTTGAGGTTGCACATAGCCAAAATCTGTTCTCCTTCCCCCAAGTGAATAGCCCAAAGACTGAAGAGTTTTCTCACATTTTGCAAAGATGCATATTTTAAGCAATATTTTGATGACATTTTTGAGGCCAATTTAAGCCCCAAATGAAGACGCTATTTTTTCTTTATCCTGTTCTGTGCAAGTATTCTGCTACTGGAAAACAATTTAACAGAAGCTGCAGTGCAGCTGTTACCAACAGAGTATTAAGAAATTGCAAGGAAATGAGGCCCTGTGTTATCATATTAATGATATATTAGCATATATGTGTATATCCTACAGGACAGGGTAATGTACAACACGAGTGGAGGTAACAAATGGCATTGCTGGGGAATGAGGAATCGCAGCTTACAAGTAGCAAAGCAAAGCAGGAACCTCAGGATAGTCTTCTGTACTTCTTTACTGCATCTTCTGAGAGGTGATGCAGTAAATGGTTTATATTCATCTTCGTGTTGTGTGCTATTTTTATATATATATCCTCTTTGCTTATTCCACAATTAAAGGGTATCTGTATGCCCCAGGAATGATGCAGAAGACTGCAGCCGTGATAGATTGGGTTCCGTGGTCTTATGAGAATATTGTTACGGTGTTAAGGGGACACTTTACTGCCTCCAATATTTTGCACATTGCATCCAAGGGCAGAGTTCCACAGCTGGTGGGTTGTAGGGTTAGGCACAGTTCCCATGTACCTCCACTGAGGTACCTCCACTGCTGCGTAGCCCGCTTTGTGTCCTTGCTTTCTGGAAGAATACCATGGCAAGTTCAGTAGAAAATCATCATCCCAATGAAGCCTAAATTTGTTTAGCATATCTTTTTGGGAGATTATTAATCATGGGTAAATTTGAGAGACCTAAACAATAGTTTTAAAATATTTTTAGGTGTTTCAAGCAATTCCTACCTTGATTATCCTCGCTCTTGGTTTATTTGTTGTTTTGTTGGCTTTTTTTTTTTTTTCCCTAAGAAAAGGCAAAGAGCTCCAATATGGAGATTTAATAAGTCTGAGATAGCTAGTTATGACAACTTTGGCATGGGGAAGAAAGGAGTCACTTCGGAAATGCTGATTTATGTGATCTGTGTGATAGTTACTACACATCAGCATTTTTCTGTCAGAGCCTGATGAAGACTTGATTTCTTTACTGTGGGTTTTGCTCCTGGAGTTGGATGATTTGCTGCCTTAAGGTGTTATCCACAAAGGTGGGTGTAGGTATGCCTCTTCTTGAAAAATGTGCGCAAACCTTTTGGAATGGGCAGCTGAGACATTTGTGTGCTCATCCAAGAGGTCTGAGAAGCACATGGAAATGTCCTGCAGTTAAATGCTAGTTTTTGTGGATTTGGCTGTTTGGCAGTGCTGTACCAAGTATTGCTGAGTATTGCAATCAACTCCTTCCCTCAGCGGGTCCAGCTCTAGGTTTGTCTCTGCTTAAGCCTCCGTTTGCCACTGGCTTTTGCAGTGGTAAAATGATACAAAACCACTTCCTTGCAATCCCATGGAAAGTTTGGTGATGGTGATTCCCTGAAGCAGAGGTAATGAAGGAATGCAGCTCTTTCTATGTGCTTTGTAGGCATATTGTACTTAAAAAGAAAATGTCTCTTTTCCAGCTCTGTGCCAGTCAACCTGGGGAGGAGAGCAGCTGGGTTGTCCCAACAGGACATGCTCTCTTCTGGTGTTGTCTTTGTACCTCTCCCTGCTGCCCTGATTTCCTGTTCCACTCCTTCTTATGCCTTGTCAGTAATGTAAGGCCCTGGGTATCAAGGCTGATGAGAGGTAGGTCTCCAAATGATGAGTGCATGCAGTTCCCATATAACATCCTCCTTATCCTACTCACTAAAATGTGTAACAAATAATCTGTGCTGGCAGTGGGATTAACACATTTGACCCTTAATGGCTCTGAAGGAATAATTGTGATGTCTCGGGTCAATAACTGTGTGAGCTAAGGAGGATTTGCTTGATGCACCATAACATCTTCTACAGAGCCGTTCATCCCTTTTGAGGGCCTATGAACCATTGGAACTTTTAAGTCTGTGTTCATTATGCTCTGTTCTCTGTGTGCATGTGGTTAGGGCCTGGTACACGTTAAAAGTAAACTCTACAGAATGCTGACAGATCCTCTGATTCCTTTCTAAGATACCACATTTCTGTCTGATTCACAAATATCTTTTTTTAATTGAAATGGGGCCTGCAAGCAATCTGAGATGATGCAGTAACAGTGTCTGGGATAGCTGATGCTTCCACAGTCCAATAGGAATTTCTGTTCTTTCTTGCCTTCATGCTGAACTTGTCTGCTCTATTTATATGAGCTGTCAGTCTGCTGGTTTTCCATAGAAAGGGGAAAGGGGGAGTGGGGGGGAGTTGGGTAGAAGTAGCTTTTCGGGTTTCTTTGAGGTTAATTCTGTAAATCTTGTTTCTATATGGAATTATTTCTTTTAGGTTTCTTTCACTCCCCACCTCCCACCTCTTCTGTCTGCATGTCTCCCAGATAAGGGTAAATAGCTTTTGAGTTTGGCTTTTAGGAAGGCAAGCCTTTCTGATGAAACAGGTCAAAAAATACTTTTCCTCTGAAAAGTAGCAGCTGTTTTCACCGTCTATTTGCAGATATTGTTTGGGTATGTAGGAACAATTTAGATCAATGGGAAAAGAATCCACTGAATTAATGTAAAATTATCTGTGTAATAATCAAAAGAAAATGTCATCTCTTTACAGGAAATGCTACTAGTCTTAACGCATATTTGAAGAACAAGTCTAGTCAGCATACAATTATTTTTCAGGTCATTTTTCTGTGGTGGTTAGTATTAATGGTTCAGATTCCAGAATACCTGATTTTGCTATCTGTGGAGATCTTCCCAGCAGGTGCAGAGTTCTTCATTTACTTTTGGTGTGAAACCTTTAGCCGTGTGCTAATAACTGAGTTGAGCTACTCAAAGGAACTTTGTACTAGCACTAACATTACAGTGAACTTTAAAAAACCACAGAAACCCTCTGCTTGAAATTTGCCACTGTCATTTTTATTTTGTCAGGTGTCAAGAGAATGCATAGTGCCATCTAAGAAACATATGAAGGGCCTGATTTACAGAAGCAGGGGACGAGGAGTTTCTCTGTCGAGCAGTCATTTCAGCCTGTTCTGTTTTCCTCAGAAACCACACGGGAGCAGTGTGGTCCAGCCTTTGAGAAAGGAACTGCTAGTCTTTCCTCTGGCGACTGAACCTATCTGTCAGAGGGTGTCTCGGTCTGAGATATAAGAACACAAAACTGATGACAAGTAAAATATTTCACAGAACATCCATCTTTCACTTTGCAAATACTCCTTTGTGAGAAATCAGATTGTCAGTAAGGACTACTCAGAATACTTACTATATTGAATGAAATAAAGAATAAAGGCTGTATTTTGTGCTGTTGCAGTCTGTGATTGGATAATATGAAATAAAAAAGAAGAAAAAAAAATCCTACGATTTTGATGCCATAATGAATTCATAAATGTAAGTTACAAATATTCCATTTAATATTTCTGACAAGAGGTAGATACCAAGAAAAGAAAAATAAATACATTGGGAAAATACTTCAGAAGCCTTTAGGGTGAAGGCATAGGTGCAAATGTTTAGATGTTACAGGTTTTGTGTGTATGTACAATTTTGAAATTATTTGAGAATCCCTGTGCAGATTTTGCACTAAGATAGATAACTTTGCTTGTCAAAGGTGTGCACTGGATCCTTTCTGAAAGATCAGGTAGTTGTAAATGCAGCACAGAGGAAAGGGCCTTTGTAGTGTCTGGTGCTCCTAGGAAAAAAGAAGTAAAAGGTTGGTGTTGCTTTTAGCCCCATCATATGGGGTCATGGGATGGGAGGACCATAATGTGCTTTGGGGAAAGACTCAATTGCTGGATCCAGAAGCAGTGATTGTTTGCCTGAGGCTTGTTACAGAGAATGAAAGATCTCTCCTGTCCAGCCAGCCCTGGGGCTAATCCTTTTCTGTCTCTGTAGGTGTTGGTCTAGAGAGACTCAATGCTCAAACTCCTGGCAAGGCCTACAAAGACCTTTCAGAGGAAACCAGCTTACAGACCAGAAATAAAGTGTAGAAAACAGACTGATGGTTGCTGCTGTTCTCTCCCCAGGTGGGGGAAGACAGGTGAGAGCAGTGGTCAAGATGAATTTCAAGGGAAGAGCTTGGCCCCAAGTGTCTGGTCTGAGATGGTGTACAGGCATGCATCAGTTTAGAGCTTTAGGGAACTTTATGGAGAGAATTGCCTAGGCATCAAATTTGATTTCCAACTAGATGGAATTTCAGAGGCTTAGAATATGTTTCTGTTTTTACACTCAAACCCTTTTATCTTGTTACTTGTTCCTGAAAGCCTGAAACAACAGCATAGAGTGCCTGGGGGACATCAGGCACAGCATTGTTGGCTGCTCAGGGGAGGGGATTTTCCTGCTTTGCTCTATACCTAGGGCAGCCTCACCTCAGGTCCTAGGGGCAGTTTTGGGCCCCACAATGTAAGAAAGTTATAAAGCTGTTAGTAACAACCCAAAGGAGTTGGAGATGGTGAAGGGCTTGAGGAGAAACCATGTGAGGGGTGACTGAGGCCACTTGGTCTGTTCAGCCTGGAGAAGAGGAGACTGAGGGGAGACCTCACTGCAGTTACAACTTTCTTGTGAGGCGAAGAAGAGGGACAGGCCCTGATCTCTTTTCTCTGGTGACCATTAATAGGACCCCAGGGAACAGCATGAAATGGAGTTAAAGGAGGGTTAGGTTGAATATTACAAAAAGTTTCATCATCTGGAGGGGACTGGGCACTGAACAGAAGTGGTCACAGCACTGAGCCTGCCTGAGTTCAAGAAATGTTTGGACAATGCTCTCAAGCACAGGGTGTGACTCTTGGGGCTGTCCTGTGTAGAGCCAGGAGCTGGATAGATGATTCTGATGGGTCCCTGCTAACTGGGGATATTCTATGATTACATGAGTGAAACTCATGTCTAACTACTCTAATCTGTGCCTCATCTGATTCACCTGATCCCAGGTGCTTGGCAAATACCAGAACTGACATAACTGGACACTTTTTTCTTGCTGTATTTGCCTCCTCCCAAAAGCAGTGTATGAGGTCAATGATTCTTTACTGACATGAGTGATTTTATTTCAATGGTTCTTAGTCCCTCTTTGTATATGTGTAGAAAAGAAGACCTCTTATTGTTTAGATATGACTGCTAAGGTCATTTTTTGGGTTGGTTGTGTTTAGCTAATGATAAAAAGGGCTGAGAAATCTGATGTTTGGTCTTTTCCATAAAGTCCCAGCTTCTGGAGTCAAGCACTGAGGTGTTTTGTTTTGGATACCCCATTTATTCCAAGGAAGGGTGAAGATTTTGGCTTCCATTGATTTAGGGATGAGGTGCAGACAACTTGAAGAAAAATAATAATTTACTAGTGAGCATTAAAAAATGGAAAGCAAATCAAGAACTGTCTGTCCTCTTAGAACCTGACTTCCTCCAGGATAACATTGCAAACATCCTCTGACCACAGCATTAAATAACACTTGTCAAAGCACAATTCAGCAGATTCACTGGGGGCTGCTTAAATTCTGACATGCAAAGGACATTAGAGAGTTTGCAGTAGCTCTTCCCATTTCCATAACTTGGAAGAAATACCAATATATTTCTGAAACAAGCAACCAAATACAATCATTGTGTTTGCGAAGGCAGAATTGGTGCCTTACAGAAGAGTTACTTTGTCGACAAATCTAAATCAGGAGATTCTGAATAGATTTCTAAATCAGAAGATGAAGAGTTCAGCATTCTCCTGATGTAGGAGAATCTTTACAGAAGGTGCCTCTGGGATATCCTGGTGCTGCCCCTGTTCAGAAAAGGTCTTGGGCAAAATTTTTACTATTTTTGAAGTCTGCCTCAGTTGAAGCAACGATCCCATTAGTCTGGCACTTAAAGAAAGCAGTGCATTATGCTGACTAGATTTTGCTGCTGGAAAAGCATTTTGTTGGTCAAAACCACCCTGATAGTTTGACTGTAATTACAAATGGACCAGACTCTCAAAGCATATGACAAGATCACTGGTAGGCAGCAAGAGTTTCTTTACGGAAAGGAGCCTCTGTAATTTCAAAAGCCCAATATTCTCTTAAGAATGACAAAAAAAGGATGTGATCAATGAGAATACACAGGAGATATGATGTTTCATTAAATGTAGATTACAGTGATCTTTACAACCTTTCTTTTAAAAAGCAAGGCAGAGAATCAGCACACAGTAATTTAATAGAGTGAAATTCTTAGTGTGTGACCTCATTTGGTCATTTTTGGGGTAAAGCTCAAGTTCATGGGGCATTTACTAGAGTAGGATCATACTATTCTTCCACTCTAATTTCCAAGTATTGCATCAGTGTCAAATGCAAAGCAACTTGTCCAGCATTAGAAGGATCTCCATTATGTCCTTCCATACAAAAATATCTCTGTCGAATTTTAATTAAATGAAAACCTCTTAGATAATTTATTAAGAGTATGGAAGATGTGCAAAACATGTGACTTGTTATTTTAAGGGTTGAATCTTCACTTTGAAACTGGCATAAATCTACCAAAAGTCAATGGAAGTATCTAGATTTACACCAGCTGAAAGGATCTGTTCTCAATTTTGCTCACAGTTTTTATGGCTTTTTTTCCAGAATGGAAGCAAATGTTGAAAAAAATATACTGCAGTATTATTGGGCTGCTTATATCTCAGTCAGCATCAAGAAAATAGCTGCATAACCACACAATATGCAGGTGGGATAATCAAAGGTGTGGAGGGAGAAGGTGTCCCCTATGTACTTTATTAATTCTGGCTGTGACTCTGAAGTCTGGGTGCGTGGCTGAATATCACACTTTGAGAATGGTGCACAGGCTGAACAGCATATGGCCAGTGCAGCTCCCTGAGCAGGGGGTCTGGCATGCATTCAAGTGGGTTCCCTTGTGGACAGTGGGAGAGCTGAAGGCAGGGAAAATCAATCCAGCTGAATCTGCTGGCAGAAAAGGTGTTTGGAGCAGCAAAACTTCCCCAGAAGCAGAAGCAAAGACATTGAGTACTAATGGTGCATTTTGAGCTTAAGGTAGTGGGAGAATGGGAAGGGATCTTGGAGGCACATGCAGAGATGAAGAGATTGGGGGCAGGAAGGAGGAGTGGAGGGGTGGGCTTAGGTGACATCTTTGGTGTCACTCTGACTGGCTAAGCAAGAAGGGAACTGGCTGGAGAGGGAGAGAGACTGTGGGAGACAGAGAAGTGAATGTGTATAAGGGAGGAGGTTCTTGGAGTGAGATGACTTTGAGCTATGTCTGAACAGTAAGAGGCACAGGAATATGTATAGGTGTGAATTGTTTTGCCAGAGTCTCCAGATAAAGTGGAGAGGCACGTGGCTCTTGCAGCCATTACAAATGAGCGTGTCAAACTCGCCTGGGCTGCCGTTCCTTGGGGGGACAGCTGTTCAGCTGGAGCATCCGTGAGCCTGGAAAACACTGTGCCTCTACTAATGGGACACCAGGGGTGTCAGCACTGGTGTGAGGAGCTGAAAGTAGCTGCACTTCTCAGGCCCCTGTGTCTTTGACAGGATAACAGATGCCTGTCCAGAAAGTGCTTCAGAGAGGCCACAGAAGGAACATTTGTTGCAGCCAGCTCGGATGAAGGGAAGTGAAAAGCATGCTGGGCTGTGTGGGATGGGGCCAAAGTGCAGCAGCCTCAAAGGAACTTAGAAGTGAAAGTCTTCTGAGGCTGTGTGGGAAATGATCAGCTATGGTTCAGGGAATGGACAAAGATGTGAGAAATCTGTGTTTAGTTTAAATCAGTTCCTGGTTTAGTTCCTTTTCAGCAAGTCACTCCATTCTGGCAGTGGCATGCTTCTCAATCTGCAGCCTGAAGGTAAATCCTTTTCTCTTGTTCTGTTACCTAGGTTGCAAGCTTTTTTTCCCCCTTCACAATGGGTGTTGGGTCCTCTGGCTCCTCAGCTGATCCTTCAGTTTTACTGTCATACAAATCATTAATAGTGATTATTGAGGGTCAGCTGTAATGTCAACTGCAGGGAATAAGCCTTTGGAACAGGTACTTCTGTGTTGGACCTGCATTGCAATCTTTCTAATCCTGGACTGATTTCTGGCACCCTCAGTGCTGGTCCAACATACTGGAAAAGGAGAAGGATCCATTGTGTTTATGGGTCGCCTGCTCTTCTTGCATAGGGGTAGACTCTTTAGGGAAAATGATTTGAAAATGAATTGACAGAGTGATAAAGACCACCTTTGAAATGCTTGACTTCTTGTGTTTGTTTCACCTCAACAGCAGGTGTCTTCCTAAATATAAATTCCAGCTGAAACTTGGTCTCCTTCTCTCTTTTCAAATCTGTTTAGATCACAGTTTCAAGAA